TACCAACGAAATGTTGTAGTATGTTCTCCACGTGACTTGCTGCTTTTAGAGATCTTCAAGATTGCGATTCTTGTTGCACGCTTCATTGATGATTAGAGGGTGCTGATGCAGCACTGCATCATTGTCTCAGCAGCCCCAAGGTTAACTGCTTTGGCAGTAGCCAGCGGAAGTGTCATTCGATCGAGTCAGCCGTAATTACAGCTTAAATCAATGACTAACATGCAGATTTATGGAAGCTCTTGCTCACCGGAGGCGGACATTGGATACAGCATTCCATTCATAAACATCAATCGAGTATCTGTAGGGCATCCAAAGATCGTTCACTGGAGCTCCAGAAACTCTTACCATATTTAGCACATATTTTCGGTTCCAGCCACAACAGCATGAGTGAGGCTCTTGAGGCCGCCCCCAGAAATCAAGTGCCAGTGCGTGCTAGGCGAAGAGGTTCCCATAATCCGTCCCCAAATATGGCTAAGGGTTACCCCGGGATGTGGGCCAAGTAAACAGCGTACGGCCCACCAGCGATGGGCAGCTGTCAGGGCATTGAGCATACGCAGCGTAAGCCGACAGATTGTTCTATTTGGGAATCGGCTGTGTGAATCACTGGGTAGCGGATAGAGGGTGGAGGGACACTACAAACACCACGACGCAACCCCCTTGACGCGATGAACGAAAGTGAGCGTGGAAGCCCCGGAACAGGCCCGGGCGATTGTCAGAGCCGGCTTTTTCCGTACAGCATACGGCATGCGGCGGGTCGTCAACCTGCTGGCAACGCGGGAAATGTGAAAACAGCCGTTTTCCCCCATGGCGTCTGCGCACTCATCCGGCAACTCCAGAGGTGGGAGTTGGCTTCTCTCCTGGCAAATGCAACGGCATGTGCAGACCCTTACCCCAGCGCTCTGCTCTGTCCCTGCCGACCAAGAAAGAAAGTTATTCCTGGCTGCCGCACCTTTTCCCCTAAATTGAAGAGGAGTTCCTTTTGAGTTTCCGAAGATGCTCCTTGGCTGTAACGGCACTTGGCGCGAGTCCGTATTTACCGGAATTCACTTTGCACTACAAATTTCGAATCGCTGCTTAGCCAATTATTCTGTCGCCTCCAACAACTGCGATGCGCAGGCCACAACTTCACGGCGCGAAAGCTTGAATTCGAGTGAGGCCCAATAACCGCTGTGCTGCAGTGCTGAGGCCGGCGCCCCAATCCCAAAGCCCCAAAGCAAAGCTCGGGCACTCAGTGAAACGACATGGAAGTGGAACGGCAAGAAAGCTTTTACGGTAAGCGGCGACTTGTCAATGCGCTACAGCCTGGCATTTCATTTGTACAGAAATATGTATGTAGATGACAGAAATCGTTAAATTAGTTTTCAATTTGCCATTTGTTGCATTATTACATGCTGCCCCAGCTGGAATAGAGTAGTTTCTGCACACATTAAACTCACAGTTGAAAAGTAATTTACATAATTCAATATATATCTACGTATGCAGTACATACGTACATATGTGCTAAGTTAATTATTCAACTTTTAGTTGAAACTCTTTTTGTCAACTGTTGATCGAAACTAAACTTTTTCAAATACTTTACGTGAAAGTTGCCGCCTGGAAGCTGGCAATCATGGCTGGCGGCTGTCCGGCTGCCGTACCGCCCGGACTGACTGCTGATGGCTAGTTTTCTGGACTTTCAAACACGCCCAGAAGCTGCAAGCGTTGCACACAAATCCAATTACGTATGCGACTGAAAAGGAGCACTGGTCAGGGCAGGGGTCTGTCCAGGGCCAAAAGCTGGTCTGGCTGGACTAGCACAATGGATGGCTGGATGGATGGCACAATGGCCAGTGGTGGGAAACCACCAGCCAGCCACTGACCCAATTATGTTAATACAAAATATAAAATTGAAAAAGCGAAAGGCTTACTTACGTTGACGTCACATCAGACGGTCGGTTATCTGGCCTGAACGGGATATTGGCAAGGAGATGCAATACCAAAAACTAGGAAAATTGCGCAATATGACAGGATAATTGCGTCCGTTGCCCGAATCTCGAGTACCTTTGGCACACCTGAGCCTTATTGTCCTTTTAAAATGCCAATAGCAAAAGGATTCAATGCAGCACTCGAAGCACCGACTCCTCAGACACTCGACTCCGCTTCCCATCTTCCCATTGCCGGTGCCATTCCCATTCGCATTCCGAGTGCCATTACCGCTACCATTGCTTTGCATATTAGAAAATCTCCCGGCTCAGGTCGCACTTCAAAAACCCCAAACCAAAGTTGACAAGTGCGTCGTCCAGAGCTGCTGCGCATGTCCCCAGCGTCGCCTTTGCCTTTGAGTTTGCCTCTGCTATCGGTGTCTCTGTCGTTGCTGAGGGGCAACAGGTGCTCGTGGCTTGTAGGTGTGTTGGTTGGCAAAGGATGGGTTCGGTCGTGCTCAGCTCGCATCCTGGTGGAGCTATAAAAACGCATGAAGCGGCCGCCTTCATGGTCAGTCGCTTGCAGAAGCTTCGCCGTGAAATTCGATCCCTCAAGTGGGAGCAGCAGTTTTCCTTTGAAATTGTGTAAAATTAAGCTGCCTGAGATGTGTTTCAAAACTATTTAGCCAAAAGGTTAGTCTTGAGGTTTCCCCTTCAAGACAATGTAACAACGCTCCCTAACAACGCTTGAAATATTGTCACAAAATGTCGCATCTAGTGATGAGGCGTTGGGTTCTGCTGCTGTTCCTTCTATCTGCAGGTGAGTTTTTTTTTGCTTTCCTTCAATCTATACCAAAAATGTGCCCAAATATGGGATAGTTCGGACTCACTCAATCCCATGGTGTAGTAAACTTAAGCAAAAATCTAGCAGAACGATCAGGATATAGCAGAAAGAAAGTAGGACCAGTGTGACGGTACTACAGTTCCATTGAGTGAATTATTTAACTCTCATAAGCGAAAAGTGATTATCGGAAAAGCTTCCCTCTGGCTGTAAACCTTTAGCCTAATACTTTTCAAGCACTCTGTAAAAGTAGCCAAACGATTGAAGAACAAGCCAAATCATGGGATCTATATAACTTTTAATCAAGAGCAGCTATACAGCTACTTATGTACACTGAAACATTATAAGAACAAGGAGGATCACAAAGAGAGACAGATAAATGCTACTTCATGTACGTTTGTATGGTTAGGTTATCAGTCGACATGGTATCAGATCAAACAAAATAAGTGAGAGAGTCAACTTTGTTTTCTCTTGCTCAGTGCCTTGGGCACTAGAGTGCATTATGTGGTCTACAAAAATACGCATACACAACCAACCAATTTGCGTTGAATCAGAGAACATGTTTACATTTTTTAGCAGAAGCAATTGCAGTACATACAAGTAATACAGTAAACGACCTTTGGGACAGACCCACAGATGATTCCAGGCCGATTATTTGAGAGAGAGAGAGAGATGAATTAATATGCATAAAATACTCGTACATTTCTCTTTAAAATCCCACAATAAGTCGCAGATAATGTCCGCAAATAGAGTTTTCACTGTTACCCTGCAGCAAGTGCACATCAGAAACATGGACATGCAGAACATACACATACATGTACATACATACAGTAAATACATTTATTTAGTTGAGATCGCATCTGGTGGAGACCCCAACAAATATTATTTCGTGCAAACTAAACTTGTTTAGCGCTTGATGCGAAATTGAACATTGACCTTTGGTCGAGGGAAGTGGCGCCTATCAGTAATTAACATCTTTAGAATTTCTACGGAAATTGGACAGCGCAACGCACCCTTTTCGAGGTCACGCCAACGCTCATGCCTCCGCGCCTGTTCGCGTTTATCCTGAAAATCCTTGGGGAACTCACTTTTAATGGCCCATCATCCCTCGATTCTTTCCACAGCAGCGCCGATGCGTTCGGCACCCCTCAGCCGAGCAGAGGGGAAAACAGTGCCCTGGGATTTGCTGCCGGAGGAGCGAGCGCGGTTGCCGGACAGGGATTGGGAATGGGTCCAGCCAGAAGCGACAACGGCAGACCCATTCCGTTTCCCATACCTTGATTTTGTTGACAACGGAAGTCCTTCGCCAAAAAGGAAGGCTGCGGAAATGGCAAACGAATTGGGCGATTCGACAATGGAGGACTATTTCCCGCCGTTTCCGGAGCTCATGAGCCGCGAATGGCGTCAGCGCCAGGAGAACTACATCAAACAGTTGCTGGTTCTGCAGAAGTGGCAATCTCCGCCAAGGGCCAGAGCCAAGCCCAAGCGGTCGCCCATACAATGGCCCTTCGATGGCCCCACGGGCAGTCAGGAGAATGTGGAGCAACCGTCGGCAGGAGAACCGCGCTATCCGTACGCCTACTTCTGGCCCAACGGACAGCGGCCCGGCAAGCGCAAGAACCAGTTGCAGATGCAGACTCTCCGGTACATGCCATCGATCAGTGCTGGTGGGTAGCTGTGGCTGGCCCCATCTCGATGCCTCTGAGTGTTGTTTCCGTCTTCTTCTAGGAGCCATGACCAATCTGGGCAACTTCTTCAACCACCTAGAGGAGAACGTGCGCTTCGCGGAGCAGTCGCAGCTGGGGGAGTCGGAGGCCCGCCTGCTTGAGGGCAGACATCCGCATCCGCTCCAAATGAAAACACCCCTCAATGCGACCGACGACAGAGTCCAGAAGCAGGAGCAGGACCAGAAGACCTCGAAGCTGCTGCATGCCATACGCACCTATCGACCCTCGCAGAAGATCCGCTCGCTGGTGTCGCGCAATCCACAGGGCTATCGCGGGTCGCAGCTCATCGATCCCAGCTACATGTGGCTGGGTCTGGGCAAATGACAGTAACGCCGCCCAATGCCCTATGACTGGCCCTAAAAAACCATAAAGTGTGCAGCTGCTTTTTAGTTGTAGGCCGCCCCAGAGCTATTGTTTGTTTTTAGCCGGTGTATAAAATATATTTAAAGGTAATCAGCAAAAATGGCAAAAAAATATTCTGTTGGCATCTTGGCGATCACATTCGATGGGGAATACGATAACGTGGGTGTGTGTGTGTGTGGGTAAGTATTGCGAATTTATATATGCATAGTGTATATGTGTGTGTAAATTTAGTAGGAAAGGGAAAACTCTTTGTTCGGGTGACTTGCACTTGAGCATGGCCTCGAAAATACAATATTTTGGTTTTCCATTTCCATTTAGATCTTGGTGTAGTTCGGATAGGTGGTGGCCGAGTGGTCGCCTGACCTTTGGGGTGCTCCCTGGATCAGCGGGCGCTGCTGATCGCTGGAGCGCTGGATGTGCTTGAACAGAGAGTAGACGCCGTAGTAGAGGTACCACCAAAGCACTGGAACAAAGAACAATACGCAATTAAAGCCATGTGTTTAGGGATTTATCTGCGAATACAGAATTACATATATGTATGTACATACATATATTTGTACATGCGAGTATGCACATACAGCTGTACAGTGTACAGAAAACCCGAGCGATAAGCTCTATGGCGTGTGCAATTTCACAACACTTTTTGTATACCATTTCCAATTATAGCTGTATGCATGTGCACAGATGTGCATGTGTTTGTGCGTGATTCACGCTTTACATACCGAGAAGAACGCCAGTGAAGAGGACCGCTGGAAGAGCCTGGAGAATATTTTCATTAACTATGATTGAAACCCAAGAGAGCACAGTCAGAGTGATGGTGAAGACAAGCGTTATTCCGGAGTTGATCAGCCAGGGCAGAAGGAGAAGGTGACGCTCCTACAATAGAGAGTGAGGGAGAGAGAGACAACCATTATGCAGTTTCTTTTCATCAGGGAGAGATTGGGATTTAGAATACCTTAACAGTGCCCATCACCAGCAGGGCCGAGGACAGCAGATTGATCACTTTCAGAGCCAACAAGATGCTGCACGTTATTACCAGCACTGCAAAAGAATAACGGATGCACATGTACATGTGTATGTAATGCACGCGGTTAACCACTTACTAGTACGAACTTTGCTGACAGTCATATTTGGATCGTTGGACGACTTAGCTATCTCCTCTGAGATTTCATCAGAAAATCCGAGGGCTGTGGATAGCAAGATCACTGTCAAGAACGACCAAATCGCTCCCAGCCATCCCACAACCACACCGTAGGTGTTCAACCGCATACCAAGTACTTTGGTTAACATATTCACTAGGGTTTTCGGACTGGTTTTCGCAAGATGTTATCAGGTTAAAGTTTTTTTTGTTACTAATTGTTGTTTGAATGGACAGTAGGGTTGTCAAATATATATCAATATATCGATATTTTTTTTAATAAAAAGATATTCAATAGTGATTTGTTTTTCCCCCAAATATTGATATGTTTTTGTATTATTTTTTAATATTTCAAGTTCGGTAACTAACTACAGGATCCAAATAAATATATAGGGTATATTGTAATTGTGCACAAAGGTGGATTTATGTATTGAACAGAAAGAAATGTTTCCGACCCCATAAATATATTTTGTTGTTAGTAGTATTGATCAGCATCAATATAGCCATGTCTGTCTGTCCGTCTGGCAGTCTTGCTAGTCGTCTAGTACTCAGAAACCAGATTACTGTGATATCACACTGATACAAGTGTATGTACGAAGCGTCTCACAAGTTTTACTCTCGAAACTGGGGTTTTCTCGACTTTGCACGGACACCGCATGTGTGTGTTAGTGCGTTGACTGTATGGTTAGGGCTTTGGTCCCAAGTACCACCTCCGAAAGGTTTCTGTTTTCTTTATGGGGGTTATTTTAGTAATTTAAGTAAATATTTACAAGCAAAAAATATCAAATATATCGATATATAGTGATATATTTTATATTATTTTGATATTTTTTCCAAGTAAAATATATATCCGCAGTGTGACTGCGGATTTATAGACTCAATATACCACATGAACTTCAAAAAAATACCATCTTATTATCAAAATAGTCCAAAAATATACCGATCCCTAAATCACTTTCCTCGATTTTGATATTTTATTTAATATTACAAGCCAGGGCTCTCAGAACTGATCATGCCACTTCTTCGGTCATAAAACAGCCTTAAATTCAAAATACGGCTGCGTGCGTAGGGGTGGAATTTCTCTCCTGCCAGACGCTCGCCCGTTTGCGTTTCAAACATGAGCGCGAAAATACCCCAGAAATATACTAAATCATTGTGCTAGTGTTATGCACAAAAATATGGCATACTTTCAGGCTGCATTTATCACTATTAGAGAATAGCTTAAAACAGCCATGACCTGAAGTCCTTTATGAATCGACAGGAAACTGCCGAGTTATGGCGATGTGGGGATTCTATATCATAAACATCCTTAAAATATCAATATCCTTAATGTCCTTGCATCCGAAGTGATTAAAAACGATCAGCGCATTGTCCTGATCACGAGGAGGTCTGGCACGTCCTGATTTGCCCACAAATTCGGTGGTAAACAACAAAACAAATCCTGCCAGTGGTTGTTGTCTATTTATGTTGTTTTACAACAAACGTGGTTACTTGTACAACAAGAAAGTGTTTGTTGTTCAACAACCCCTTCATAAGCACGGTAGCGCCACCGCAATCACGAAGGCTATTTATGGAACTAAAATGGCATAGTTTGAGAGTTGGCCGCTCCGTGTCGCCACTGTGAAGCAAACCTAGAACAGTGGCGCTCCAACAATGAGCGGTTAATTCTCGAACTACGCTCTTTTAGTTCCAGAAATAACCATCTTGATCGATGTGGGGCTACTGTGCAAATGAAGTGGATGTTGTACAGCTAACACTTTCTAATCCGATCCTAATCCTTTTCTGCCATTTGAGGTGCGAGCTGAATACGCTAATGTACAATTCTTCGAGTGCGTTTCCATTAACGTTCAGGCTCCATTGTACATTTTTAGTGGTTATATCCAGAGATCCGACTTTAATAAAAACAAGTTATTAAAAGTTACCTATGTAGGTGTATAAAAATCGTATCCAGACATGAGGTAATCTAAAACAGTAGAAATTGTACTATAAAATACAAAATACAATACAAATTCAACTCAAAACGAGACCTAGCGCGACGCACCGTAACCCCCTACGTAGCTACAGTGGCTCTTACCTTAAATGAGCCAAAGAATTGTTTAAGCTTTCAAGTCGTATAGCTTCTGAACCGTCTAACTCACCAGTGAAAATGAAAATTGAGACGACGGAATTATTAACTTTAGGCACTTTAAAATGGTCGAGTTCCGAGCAAATCCCGATTTATTTCGATTTTTGGTTACGGTCATTGTACGGTTAAAATCATTCACACATTTTCAGCGGTAATTTAAACGGTTCAGAAGTTATACCACTTTTAAGTTTGAACAATTCTTTGGTTCATTTAAGGTGAGAGCCACTGTAGCTACACAACTGGCAAGCATTTCTCCATTTAGCAATTGTTGCTCCGTCGGCAGAACTAGACAGACGCTCATTCAATTTTTATCTCTCGCGCGTTGTGGTCGTCGGCTGTTGTTAGAGCTCCAAAGAATCTCGACCGGTTTTCACTTTTGTGGAAAATTCAAAAGACTACCGAAGCCAAAGAATCTAAAGATGAAAATCGATCTGTCTGTCGACCAGGGGCCATGCAACACAGAACTCAGGGGCTGGTGCCTTGGCATTGCGATCTATTCGCTGGTGACTATCACATTTAGTGTGCTCTTTGCGCCAAATGGTATGTGAATTGTGTGTGGAACTCAAGGCGTGGCATTTGTTTATTTGGAGAAATCCGCTTGTCCGCTTGCGACAACACAATAAAATTGTATACTAGTGTGCCTAAATATGTGCATATGTAGCTTACATAGCTAGCCTTAAAACAATGATAAATATACATATACACATGTATTCATTTATATACATTTGAATACCAAAACGTTAATATGTGTATACATGTGTACATGCATATAAAGCATGAGCTAATCATCTCCCAAAACGAAACACGCTCCCAGAGTCGTTTCTGTTTTTGAATTGAATGCCGTGAAACTTTTCTGATGATGACGACATGTGTCGTCTGTGTGTCACACAATAATCCAGTCTGACTTCTCGATTCTATATATTTCCAGTGGTAAACTTTGTGGGCTTTGCCATTGCAGTGGCGGCTAATGTACTATTGCTGATCGGCTGCCTTAAGGTGAGTGGAAGATATAGACATGCACGCTCTTATCTATGATTCATAAATCCCTGTTTACCTTTGCAGTACAAGCACCAGCTGCTGGTTGGCTGGCTGATATATGCCTTGATCTGTGCCATTGGATTCCCCTTTGCCATATTCGGCGTCATCTTCCACTACGGAGGGTATCGCGAGGCCACCGGATTCAATAACATCTTTGGCGCCTTGCTGTCGTATATTGTACAGATCGGTAAGTGCCATCCTGTGCCCAAATGGTTGACAGAAAGTATAGACCTCTCCTTTGTTGCAGTAATCGTTGCCTTCTGCGCCCGTCTTATCTATTCCTACTACTTGCAACTGAAGAACCGCCAGGGCACACCCCAGGCCGTGCCTGTCGTTTGAAATTCATTGACGCCATAGCCATAGGCGGCTAGTTTTGTTTATCCGTTTTCTAGCTCTGTGTGTTTTTTCTTGGAATAAAATACGTTCTTGTATTTGATTGCAATTTGTCGTAAACACGTCTCTTATTCACTTCGACTTCGGGGCAACTATCAACAGTTTAAACCAGATTAAATACATATACATTACATACAATACAAGGGCTAAAGGGTTATTATTGGGCTAAGGCTAAGGGGGCATCCATCCATCCTTCTATCTCTCTCTCTTATACATTCAACAGCTAAAACGACAGATCACACTCTACACTCACTACTCGTATATAGACGATTTATATGTAAACTATATCGCCACGCGTCCCCTGCGCCCCTTAGTGCTCTTGCTAGCTAGCTAACTATCATACTCGGCGTAAGCTTTACTTAAACATAAAATGGAAAGTTGGTCTTCTTATTGTTGTGGGTCTGCAACTGCATGAAGCTCGTCTCGGCGTTTTGGCTTGCGAGGGTCGCCTGCATGGCGGCGATTATGCGAGCTGCCTGGCCGCGGGCGCCATGTGCCGCCGGTTGCATGGCAAACTCGCCCAGATCCGCATTCAGTTTGAGCTCAAACTGCGACAGGCCGTGCCGCGTCGTCTGCGTCTGTGTCAGGGTCTGCCGAAGGGGCGCAGCCAGTTTTCATCTGGGCGTTGTGAGACTGGGCAGCTTCTCCAGGAAATCATTGGCCAGCACATCCTCGATCTCCTCCAGGCAATTGGCCACATCCCGCTCCGTGTCGGCAAAGTTTCGCGGCTGTGGACAGCTAATTCCCAGCGTAGAGAAGAACGCGTACAGTTCCTGAAGCGATTGCAGCTGCTGGAAGTTCAGCATCAAATGACGATTGCTGGGACGCTGCAGCACCTACAAATATCAAGATTTGGGGATTAGTTGGCGCTAAAGATACGTGCAGACACGATATCTGCAGATAATGACGTACCGGGGATTGGCTGGTGTACTTCATGTCCATCAGCCGTGCCACGCGTCTCACATGGGGCACATATAGCGCACTGGGTAGCGTGGCCAGGTTCTCGAGGCTGCCGTTGGGCAGACCCACCTCCTCCTCGTGCACATCGAACTCTGTGCCCACGAAGGCCCATCGATACATCTGAAAGTGTGGCAGCTTGGTCGCCGGCAGCACACAGCCAAGTTCCAGCAGCTTGCAGGCCTCCAGCTGAACTGATCGCCAATGCTGCATCGGTGTCTGTGCATTGATGCCGTTGCTGGCACCCGAATTGTTGGACCACGACACATCAATGCTAGACGGCAGTCGCATTTGTTGACTAGGAAAGGGATTGTTTGGATTACAAGACACTTGCAACTGTCGACTGTCTAGTGGACTCACCTGCGCTCTTCGCTCTCTGACTTAAGTTCCTGTTCCATCTGTAGGAACACCTGCACCATCTCTGCTATGATGATGGGCCACAGCGAGGTGACATGATCGGGCGACATGCGCAGCAGCAGCACCCTGAAGCATAGGAATACAGCCGCCTGCACCGACGGTCCCATGGGCACCAGTCGCAGGCTGTTTGCCAGTTGTTCTGAGCATGTAAAAATGAAACATTTGAGTGGATGCAACCCCCGATATGCTTGACAGATTTCAATTACTCACCTTGAATGTCTGGCATGTACTTGTTGTGCTGATCAAACTCGCTGCAGTAGATGACAAAGGC